CACCTCTCCCAGATCCTGTAACCAACCCCTTTACTGGCTGTAAGTTACCCCCAAAATAAACCTCCTTTTAACTACCAGGAAAACTACGTGGAGTTGCCTTGTTAAATCCTCTCATTAAGACATAAGGGCCAAACCTTTGGGAAGAGCTCTACTGTCCTCCAGGATGCTCCTCCTTATTCTCCTCAGCAACAGGTATCAAGTAATTGGTCCAGTCATGGACAAAACCTTCCAATCCAGCCAGCCAGCCAGTGACACCTGAGCAAGCCCAGAAAAGGCCTTCATGTCCTTAGGCAAATTATGTGACCTCATCCATGTAGGGCTCGGGAGATAAGAAGCTGAAAGGCAGTGGGGAGCATCCACACAGACAGTACACTGGATAACGTGGATTTCTAAGCACCACCACAGGCAGATTTTGTGGTGACAACGTTGGGCCTGGACTTGGAAACTTCAGTGTGATGTGGTCGCGAATTTGGTAAACACTTTCTAACCAGATTCAAATGAGCACTGCAGAGGGAATAATCAAAGTATCTATTACAGACACATCCAGCTCACACTGCGTGTTCACACGCAGGCCTACCACAGGCAGGGAGCAAACCCAAATGCCACATGGATGCACAAATGACAAGCAATGGATGTACCACAGTGGCACTCCTGAGCCACGTCCCCTCGATCTTCCTCCACCCACAGAGAGAGCTGGGACAAGTACAAAGGGTCCTGGGAAAGGCTTCTGAGTCCACCAGGGTCTCCAGGGACACATGACTTCGCCTACAGCCACTGTCCACAGACAGCAAGCTCTCTACACTCTGCAAACCATCGTGAGTCTCCAGGCCCAGCATTTATGCCAGGACAACTCAGGGAGAGAGCCTGCCTCGTTCACAACCACAGGCTGACACGTCTGAGCTCTGGGCTCTCCCCAGCCGCTGGCAGAGTTGATCACTGCATTGGTGTTGGGGGGGTGGTGGCTGAAGAACTAAGGGAGCAAGCGGCCACCGCCATCACGGTCCGCACAAGACACAGACTTCTTAAACCCACCTGACTCAGTCATGCAGCATCACTCAAATCAAGTGTCCTCGGAGTTTTCTTTTATTTATCCATCCATCCATCATCCATCATCCCGCCCTCCCTCCATCCCTCCTAGCACTGACACTGCTTGGGTGGGAAACTTGAAAACAAAACAGAGGATTTCAATGGACACATGACGTGAAACTATGTGTCACAAAGTATGAGATAAAGATCCACCTTTTACCAAGGGACAGAGAAATTATGGGCTACAGGGAGGGGGCACCTACGCTGCGCCTCAAAGGGGTGAGGATTCTCACGGGCAGAAGGAAGGGCACTCAAGGAGGCAATGGGAGCCGAGGCTGGCCAGCAGGTTCGCAGAACATTGCCGACAGCTCGGGTTGCATTCTGTGAGCAGGAGGGAACCCCAGCAGGAGTCGGAGGAAGGAGACAACATAAGCAGAGCTTGGGAAGAAAGCGTCCAGCCACAGAAAGCTGAGGCCACATTATCGGAACAGAAAGCAAAGGTGGGAACTGGCTGGATACAGAGGCAAAACACACTAGGATGAGTGAAGATCCAGGGAGGCTCTGGGAATCAAGCCAGTGGGGCTGTGAGGCAATGCTCTGGAACTGGGCACTGGAAACGCAGCAGAGGAGCCACTCAGGTTCACCGTGCCCAGGTTCCACACCTCGAGGAAAAACCTTGGACTTAGGTCAGCAACAGAAACTTCTGTCCTTGGAGACCCGGCCTATGCAGCCAGCACAGGCTTCAGAGAGATGCACAGTGCCCTGTGGTCACACACTCTACATCTCATAATTCAACTAACTCCAGATCCATGGTTTTTTTTGTTTGTTTGTTTGTTTTTCTTTTATTGCATCTTACTGAACATGTGCAGACTTTTGTCGTCATTAAGTCCTGTGCTGGGGAGTTTCTGCTGTAAACTTGACAACCTAGAGTCACCTGGGAAGAAAGAACCTCAACGAGAGAACTGCTCCATCAGATCGTCCCGTGGCCAATGACTGGTGTGAGAGGGCCCGGTCCACTGTGGGCGGCACCACCCCTAGGCAAGCAGGCCCTACAAGAAAGCGAGCTAAGGACAAGCCAAGTGAACAGTAGGCAGCATTCCTCTGAAGCTTCTGCTTGAGTTCCTAGCCTCACTTTTCTCAATGATGGACTGGACCTGGAAGTGTAAGTTGACCAAAAAAAAAAAAACCTTTCCTCCACAAACTGCTTTTGGTCGTGATGTTTATCAGAGCCACACAAAAGCAAAGTAGAGCACGCCCCGAAATAACACAGCATGACAACTATTTCCGCCAACATTTACATTTCATTAGGTGTTATGAATAATCTAGAGGTTATTCAAAGTCTCCAGGAAGGTGTGTGGAGAAGATATGTAAATACTATGCTCGTCTGACATAAGAGACTTTAACACTCTCAAATTTTGTTATCCTTGTGGGGAGTCCTAGAACCAACCCCCATTTTCCCAGTCTAGAATCCCAGCCACCCCCACAACCCCCCTCCAGCCACCACCATGACTCTGGGGCCAGTGTGGATGCTCTATGTCTGGTGTCTCTGCCCACCCGTCCCTGGATGGAAAGGGCAAAGGGCATCCTACCACCCTACACTGGGTCACCTCACAAAGATCCCATTGTGTAATGATCAACAGCAGCTTGGCGGGGCGATAATAATACGTTCTGCTGGTGATGTGGCACCTTCTTTACGCTGGAACATTCAGGGGTATTTTCTTCAGCAGGCAGAGCCTTGCCACACACAAACGGAGCCTCCAGGGCCAGGAGAAACACAGCCAGAAAGGAAAGAAGTAAAGATTCACCCCACCCCACCCCTCAGTGCAGGTCACAGGGATTAGAGGAGCTGAGAGGGTCAAGAGGAGAAGGTGTGTGCAGTCTTTACACCAATTTACCCAACTGCTTGTTTCTACAAGAAGCCCTTCAAGTTTGCACTCGAAGACACCCCAAGCCTTTCTTTCTGGCTTCGACGTGTACTCGGGAAGCCAGGGGCCTCTTTCAGGAAGCAGGCACCGAGTGACATGAAGCTATACCCCTGCCCGCAGAGCAAGCTTCGGCCACACACTCAAGCCAAGCAGAATATACGTGCGCCCAGCAAGCAGAAGACAGAAAAAAAAATCCTGATTCCTCACCTGCATCATTAGAGCCCCTCTCCAGGGGGAAGACAGTGGGGCTGCTGGGAATCCTGCCCACATCAGCAACCATGGTTTTGGCGAGAATCGTTAGTATTTTTCACAAACCACCAAAGCAACGGAAGTAGAGTGTGACAACCCCGAGCACACAGTTTACCCACACAGTCTTTGTCTTTCCACCTTCTATAATGCTGTGGTTCAGACTCAGGACCTGAGTGCTAGTGCTGAGAGATAGGCTCCCCCCTTCTGTTCTATGAGATCTTTCATTTAGGCCCCCTTGCTACTGAGCCAAACTGACTGCATCTCGAACCTGCACTAACACCATCACATACCATCCCAACAGACAGAGCTGGCCAGCGTGCCCCCTCCTCTTCCCTGGAAATCTCCTCGGGGCTCTCTAGTGAGCATCTGAGGTCTCCTGGATCAGCACAAGACATACTGAGATGCCTCCACCTAGGGAAGGAGGTCCACAGGCGCTACTCAGAAAAAAAAAAGGGGGTCAGGAAGTGCCCATTCAGCCAAGTGAATCCCAAGCAGCCAAGAGAGCAGCAAGTTAAAGTGGGGGTTGCATGAAGGGCTCTTCCAAGAATGGCACCCACAAGGCTGGAGCAAGGCAGAGCAGCAAAGAACACTCCTGGAGGGGCTGTCTCACGGGTGTCACAAGGGAACAGAGTGCTGTCCCCAGTGCTTCCGATCGAAGACCAGGATGATGGGAACACCAGGGAGTCAGGTGTGATTCAAAATGCAGGAGACCCTGGACGTTGCTCCTTTCGCTTCAGGAAGACAGATGGGAACCTTCTAGACAGACCCCCAAAGCCATGGTCATCACCAAAAAACACCCAGGAAATCAGGCTTCAAAAAGCACATACCGAGGTTCTTTCGGTGTGGACCCGAACCATCTTCCCAGTCCCACTCTTAACTCTTCCTCCGTGACACAGTGCCCTGCCTTTTGCTCATGGACAGAATCCCTTTCCTAACACAGGACTCTGATAGGCCACTGGGCAGCTTCCCCATCCCCCCAACCCCCAGTCACTTGTCAAAAGGCATGCTGGAGTCAAACCGCTCATGAGCAAGCTCTGAACACAGCTGCCATGTCCAGTGAATACGCTTTAGATTAGACTGAATCAAGACACAACACCCTGAGAGGGATACATGAAAGGACACCACTGTGGGAGCCTGTGGCTTGTCTGTTTAACAAACAGCTATTATCGGTAGGTCTTGTTCCCAAGCATAGTAGTCTAAGTCATTCAGTGTCCAGCCCTGGTCTCCCTCAACTGAGCTTCATATCGTTGGAGTGGAGGCTTCATGCTAACACTCCATTTGCACCCGAGTGTGGTGGCATATGCCCATCACCCAAGCATTTGGGAGGCAGGGATATGAAGATCAGTAACTAATCTCAGCTATACAGAGGGACTGAGACCAGCCTGGGCGACACAGAGGACCCTGTCTGAAAAACAAACGGACAGGAAACACTTCGTTTATCCTATCTTCCTTCTGAGAACTATCCTTAGAATGTTCGTAATCTGATATGGGTGACTTCAAATGCCTTACTTTCAGAACCCAGTCACATTTGGAGGTCAAGGAGGACAAAAGCGCCAGATCAGACTGAGCAGCAAGCCTTCCTCTTATCCTACATAACTCCCCAGGAGCGCATCCTCAAGTTCAACTGTAGGAACAAAGCTTAGCAGAAATTGAGGCCAAGGGAATAAGACAATTGACTCTCTCTCTCTCTCTGCTCTCACTTGGAGCTCTGCTAGGCTCGGCAACATTAGGGTCTAGCAACCCAGACTCATTTTCACACTGCCCTGGATCCCTGCTAAGGTGATGGTGCCCAAGCCTTACTGATCATGGTGGTTCCCCCAGCCAGGGCTGCCTTGGTTCCCTGGAAGAAGTCATCAGCTGACGTCATTCCCTGGTCAGGCATCTGGAAGCGAGTGTGCACGTCAATGCCTCCTGGGATCACCATTCTGGAATGGGCTTCGATGGTCTTCACTCCTCCTGGCACAATCAGGTTTTCTCCTATTTGCCTAAGAAAGCAGAGTTAGTGAGAGAGAGGCCAATGATATGTGGAATCAAATCGGATCTGACATCTGTTTTCATTAAGCTATAAACAGACCCTCACTACATGATGAGCACTTTTGGGGTTGTTGCTATAATCATTCACGGGAGCACCGCCCACTCCTCATCCCCAAACATGAGCAGATGTAGAATGAACTAAGAAGCTAGGCACAGCGGCTCACATAATCCCAGCAATTTGGGAGGCTTACATGAGAATTACCTCTAGTTCAAGTTCTGTAGCCTTGACCACAGAGTGAGTTCCTGGCCCACCTGGACTGAAGAATGAGGCCCCTGTCTCCAAATATAACTTATACACAAGGAAGCAAATTCCTAATCCAATGACTAGTTATCAGAAACCCCTAAGCTTGAATACTAACGAGGCCCCAAAACACTTCTATATCATTCACTCCGCCGCCGCCGCCTTCTAAAACACCAGCCAGCTAGTTTTCCAGAACAGTTCTCTCTTGGCCCAATACTATTTCCCAACATCTTTTTCCACCACTTTCCTTTTCAATGTAGGGGAAACAGAGGTGGAAAAGTGGAGAGAGAGGAAAAAAGAAAAGTAAAAAGTAAACACTATAATTCCAACAATTATAGAACATGGAAGCAGGTGCTCATGGATTCAGATAAAGGCAGAAAAACAAATATCCATGCTGTTTGGGACATGCATCATATCCATTAGGTGAGGGGATGTTGTAGCGGTGTTTTTTGTTTGTTTTTGAGGGTTTTGTGGGGGTTTCTTGGGGGTTTTGTTGTTATTGTTTTGTTTGCGAAAGTGCCTCTCTACAAAGCCCCAGCTGTCCTGGAACTCACTATGTAGTTCAAGCTGACCTCAAACTCACAGAGATCCACCTGTCTCTAACCCCTGAGTGCTGGGATTAAAGGTGTGCGCCACCAGACACAGCTGTAGGGTTTCATTTTTTGAGTCAAGATCTCACCATCCAATTAATTGTTTTTTTAATTTTACTACATCTTTCTACCAATTTTTAAAAGGAAAAATTAATCGAGGAGGAGTTAAATTTCTAAGACAAATAAACTATGACTAAAAATAGCACTGGGATGCTCCATTCCAGGCCAGCGTCCTTCAGCTAGACCCATCACGTTCCCCTATGACTGGGGATGCAAAAGGAATAAGGAAGCTCTAGCCTGTGATCGCCAGAGCTGAGACTCTTCCAGACAAACACACATGGAGAAAGCATTAACTATGGAAACATCACGACCCATTCTGGCTTCATCAGTCAGGGTGAGCGCTTCCAAGCAGTCACAGCCAGTCCAGCTCACCCTCTCCAGACTCACTTGCTGCTAGCGTTTGGTGAGCACTGCTTATTTAAAAGATGTCGTTAGCTGGGATGTTTGTCTTTCAACAGATGTGCCCCCTCTCCAGAGCCCAGGGGCCATCCCCAGAGGAAAGGCACGAAGAGATTGCTACACTCCACTCAGTTAACCCTCCAGAGTCCTAGAACACCCAAACCCAGAACATAATACACAAGCAGCACAGGGTGGTCTTATTTATTCTAGGAACCAGTTCAAGAATGAAACTTAGGGTTGGTGAGATGGCTCAGGGGCTAAGAGCACTGGCTGCTCTTCCAGAGGATGCAGGTTCAATTCCCAGCCCCCACAAGATGGCTCACAACCATCCATAATTCCAGTTTTAGAGGATCCAATGCCCTTTTCTGACTTTCAAGGGCACAGATGTGTTTCTCTGTGTTGATTTTGTGCCTGTCCCGGATCTCAAACCCACCGAGATCCGCCCGGCTCTGCCTCCCGAGTGCTGGGATTAAAGGCGTGCGCCGCCACCGCCCGGCTGAAAAAAATTTTTAAAAAGGAATGAGACCTAAAATCCCTCCAGTACTAGGCAGTCATTTATCTGAGTTCCTGGTAATTAACTCAATGTCCTGTGGCCCTTCCTGATTAAGCAAGCAGATATACATCTTAATAGGCCAGGCTGCATTCCACAGCCTATGTCCTACGACTGAGTATTCCATCCCAAACAACTACAGTCCGGGAAAACTGAAGTGCATGCAGCCTATCACAAACCAAGCATGTGAGCTGGCAACCAAAGGATGTTGTGTCACCTCTGTTAAAAATAGTCAATTACATAACACATGGGTGTTCGTGTGTGCTGTGACTTCCAATTCCCTGAATCTGAATGCCCAAATTCATTAATTACCACCAATAAAAATGAGCTGAAAAGATGCTAAATTGGTCACTTTTGGTTTTCTGGCGGCGCCTGACTAATGCCAGATGCACATTCTACCAATGTTACAACATTCCCAGCCCAAGCTTAGCAACTCTTGGAGTCATTAAAGCCTGAGACTATTTACATGAAAGGATCTAAAGCTTAGGAACACAGTGTGTGTGTGTGTGTGTGTGTGTGTGTGTGTGTGTGTGTGTACACATATACACCTCTACATAGCAATGAATCGTACTTACTTGATCAACCCATCTTCCATATATATGTCCGCATAAAAGGACTGGTCATCATTCACAATCTTGCCACCTTTGATGAGAAGGCGATCACTCTATAACAAAGAGGGGAGCAAGGTCAGAACACATAACTGACCTAGGAGAAGAGAAGCACCCATCCCCAGGGGGCAGGGGGACTAGGAGCACATTTTCATCATTCAATAGTGATGCTCAAAGCCAGGGAATTTGGGGAGGTACCTTAACCAAGGTGAATCTACTCTCCCCCGCTCCCTCCACTGGCTGGAGGATTCTCAATGACGGTTCCTACAGGAACTTCTGTGAGGAAGGGGAAGTAGTGAAGGGCAGGACTTACTGCCTCCCAGACTACAGACATTCCTCTCAGGGGAGAAAAGGAGGGGTCCCTGCAGGCTTAAGCCCCCTGAGTTTATGATGAGTCAGAACACACTGGCAAAGCTCACCCTAGACAAACAAACCACCTTTTCAAGAACACCTTAGACCTGAAAACAAAAAAAGGCCATTATAGAATATTCCAGCTAAAGAAGACAATGCTTTTGAAATGATTTTTGGCTAAACCTCATACTTTAAAAAAAAAAAAAAAAAATTCCACCCACATGTAGGAAAGTCAAGTCTTGGCAAAGTTTTTGTTGGGGAAAACTGACCAAAAGTCTGTTGTCATAGCATATGCTACACAAACACAGAGTCTTCAGCCATAACAAGATGTCAGCAGCTTAGTGTGTCCATCCCATGTGCATTTATCTTTGGGGTAAATCACAACAAGCACATGGCCGAGGGAGGGACATACACCCATTTAGCAGGTAAGAAACACAGCTTTATGATAAATTAGAGACATGGGGGATGTTTTTAAGTCTAATACCACTACAGATGGTTGACCCACTTTCGTGTAAAAAAAAATAATTATTATTATTATAAAGGCTAGTCCAACTGAGAGAGCCAAGAGCCTGTAAAAGAAATGCTATGTTCTGACTCACAGCTATCCAAAAGACTGTGGATGGGATGTATGTGATGTCATCACCCTGCTTTGGGTGGATGTACAGGTTTATTATTTATTATTTCAGAGTAGATAGAAACCTTCCCAGCAGCGCCATCCCCTTTGATTATGCTACCTACACCTTTCAAAGAACAGCATTCATCTTGATAACAATCAACCCAGAAGCCTAGGACAAAATAAAATCTCAGCAGGTACTCCTTGCCTTTTGCAACCACCAAGAAAAGGAAATTTTTCCTTAAAATATACACATGGTGCTATAGAACAAAGAAAACAAGATACAGTTGCACATAAGTGCAAACACTCTTGGGCTTAGAAAATATTTATTGTTTCTGTTACGTTGAAAAACAGGGTCAGTTCAGCTTTACACTGTAGGATCTTCTATCCAGATGTAAGCATTGAAAAAGCCTTGACAACAGTCAACATGGAAAGGGTCAACAAAAAATCTTTACTAGTCCTGCTCCTCATACCAAGCAGTCAGAGTCTTAGAACCTTTGTGAAGTGGATGGAGCAGGATTCTAATCCTGTGACACATGGGGAAACCTAGGCTCAGTAGACTTAAGCCTGCAGGGACCTCTCCATTTCTCCCCTGAGAGGAACGTAGCCTGTAGTCTGGGAGGCAGTAAGTCCTGCCCTTCACTACCTCCCCTTCCTCACAGAAGTTCCTGTAGGAACCATCATTGAGAATCCTCCAGCCAGCGGAGGGGGATGGGGGGAGATCGGATCATAGTTTATTCAATCTTGAGCCCTCTAGAAGAAAGCTTCTTACATAAGAGGCGGGCCACAGTGACAGAGGGAGAGAACCAATAGATCCTAGGGCATACGACTAGATGTTTTTAAAGGATAGAGGGGGCGCTCTTTTAAAAAGTGGTCATGTGGGTTGCGTATTTTCCCCCTCCTCATACTGTCAAAATGAAATTGTCTTATTTGTGCAAGAAGACAGCAAATCACAAGAGGTTTGCAGGAAATCTCCCCACCCCCACTGCCCAGTTCCCCAGATGCGGTCCTTCAGAGCAGTGAACATTTTACGTTGTATCCTGTGTGTCAGTCCTTTGGGATCTGGTACCAAGGATGGGGTGTGGGGTGCCTTGAAAAAAGGCTAGTACCCACCCTTGTCTGAGAACTACCCAGCCCAAGCTAGGGCACACGCCCCCTCCTCTGGGCAACTGTTCTTACAGGGCTCCTGCAGATGGGTGTGTCCTTGTGCACCAAGGAAAGAAGGCCGGGGTCCCAGGGCCCCAGAGACAAGCAGGGAAAAAAGCTCACCGTCAAATCCGACCTTAAAACCTATCTTCACTATTTGGAAGATGCCTTCAAATCTGCGTGTCCCTGGGTCCTAGCCGGCCACACGCCGGCTAGTGCAAACACACAGCATTATATAACAATCAATTTCCTTGGAGATTCTCCCTGCCCGGGATTTCCTTCGAGGATGCAGAAAACTGGACTGGTGAGATTTTTTTTTTTTTTTCAGTAAAAGACGCAAAGCGGGGGGGCAGGGGGGGGGCAATCCCCAAAGCATCGCGAATTCTTCGCAGAGATGCTTGGCAGGGATGCAGGCCTTGAACGAGGCCAGCACCTCGGCTCCGGTGATCATTGTCTAGGGCAGGCCCGGCCATCTGCGCGAGTCGCAGCCAGCGCCATTACCTCCGCGAGCCTGCTAGCTGCTGTCCCCAGCGCCCACCCGCCCAGTCCGCTTTGTATGCGCCACCACAACCGCCTCGCTGGTGGCGGAAGGGGCAGGAAAGACGGAGAAAGCGAGCCGGGAACCCTGCCAAGACCCCAGCCCCAAACCAGAGGGCTCCCCAGGTCCTCTTCGTCCACAAAAAGCTCCCGCCCTTCTCTGCTCATCATCGAGTCCCGATCCTCCCTTCCCTCTGCATCATCCCGGTACACCCTGCCCTTTCCAGCATCCCTTCGCTGTCATGACGCCTCCGGGCTGGAACTCGCTCCTTCTTGCAGGAAGAAGGCTCCAGAAAGCTCTTTCTGGAGGGGGCGGGAGACACGGGAGGGTCTGTTTTCCAAGCTCCCCACCACCGGACTCCCGGAGCCCAGCCTTGCGGCACGCAGCCGGAGAACAATATCCGAGCGTCGACCATGCATATTCAATCTGGCATCCATTTGCTTGCACCCCGCGGGCAGCGCTGCAGCATCTCGTGCTGACAATGAAGGATACAGAGGATCTGGCGCACTACCTCCATACACTCCCGCGCCTATTTCAATACCTTGCAAATTGCGTGCCTTATAACTGTTATTACCTCTCCCAACCCCCACCCCCACCCCCACCTTCACCACCATCGCCTCCGTTGGCAACAAGAAGGAAAAGTTGAATCTCTTTCTCTCCTCCACCTTTAAAATACACTCTTTAGCTATTCTATGTCACAAAAGGTTGCTCGCCTTTCTGGAGTGCCAAACTTACCGTGATGCGTGGAATATTTTTCTTCCCCTGATAAGACATCTCTCCTGGGGGTGGGGGAGTAATTTCAAGAGGACAGCTTTAAAGCAAAGATAGCCGGGAAAAAAAAAGATTTGGTTTAAAATATATGTATTTTTTGTAGGAAAAAGGTACAATCCCTTAGCTGGCCTTGCTGTTAGGAGATTTCAAAACTATGAGACAAATGCAATCCTCTGTCTCTTCTCCTCTCCTCCAACACAGATCCAGCTAGGGCGGAAAAAAAGAAAGAGAGGGAGAGAGAACAGGAGGGAAGGGGGTGGAAATAAACTACAGCAATAAAAGCCTTGGTTCCAGTCGGCCACCACCGCGCATGCGCCGCCAGCCACTCCCTTTCCTCCCAGGCAAAAGCCATCCGCTTCGCGAGAGACGCTCACTGATTGGCCAGGGTCGTGGGATATGCAAATGAGAGGGGCGGGGCAAGGCGCAGCGCCCGGGCTGCGACTGCTGCAGTGCGCGCAGGGCGCGGTGCGTGCGCCCGAGCAGGGAGCGCGCCTTTCGCGCCCTTTCTCTGATCCTGGGCGGGCGAGCGGGCACTGCGGCTGGCAGCGACCCCAGATGCTGCATCTGCAATTCAGGGCACAATGGAGGGGTGGTCGTCCCGGGAGGGTGAGGAGGGGGCGCAAGCCCGCGATGGAGGGGCTTCAGTACGGCCCGGGCGGCACGCACACGCCCGCCCGCGCGCCAATCCGCGGAGGCCGCCGCTGCAGCCCCGCGTGGGGTGACTGCGCTGAGCCAATGGCCTCGCTGGCGGCGAGCGCGCGACTGCACCGCGGCCTCCCCCGCCCTGCTCGCCAGAGCGGCCTCCGCCCTGCAGCGGCTGCTGCGACAGGGGACTGACGGCTGGAGGAACGCGAACAGCATCCGGGAAGGTCGTGGGCTGCTGGGCACCGGACGCCCCGCCCCAGAACGGTTTTTTGTGACTGCAGGCTACCGAGAACAAGAGATGGAGGCCGGCGCCTATGAGGCAAAAAGGGCCCAGTCTTGCGCCCTGGTCGCCCTTTTAGCTGGCACACCAAGACTGACTCCTTTTGTGTGGTTGTGGCGCCTTCAGATCTGGGGAGGAAAAGCTGCTGCGAATCTAGCTGCAGGGAGTCAGTCCTAAGGCCCCCACAGCCAGAAGCAATGTGATAGGTTATAAGGAGCAAGAGCAAGAGATAGGAGAGGTTACATCCCACAGAAAGGAGAAACTGAGTAATGGAGAAACTCAACCTCTAGTCACTAAGCATTCCAGGCCTCTCTTCATGGTGCTAGTAGTGCAATAATAGGACTGTGAGCCTTTGACTGTCAAGCCAGGCTGTGATGTTGTAACAATACCCGGGGAAGGGGAAGAGCTGGTGCAGTGGACCCGGGAAAGGGTCCCCGGGCAGATGACAGAATTTCTGCCTAGGCGTAGCTTTGACCCTCTCACCTTGAGATCAAAGAATGCCTGTGGTTACTGCTTAATCTGGGTCACTGGGCAGCCTTTCAGGGAGGGGGGTATCTGTTTAATTGGCTCACACCTGCTCAGCAACGATTAGCCAGATAAAGACAGAATTATCCTGGGGGCTCTGTTTCCCCGTTTTGTTTTGTTTTTTGTTTTTTTTTGCACCTGGCCACTGTAGGGGTCTTCTGTCTTTCCAGACTCAAAAGAGGGGTAA